GTCCTCCTTGACATCACCCAATAGGTCTGGTGTTTGAAGGTTGACATCAAATCCCTCGGCACTGTGTGGAGCCGGGTTAATGAGTCGTCGACTTTGCGCCAAGGGACATGGGGAGAGGAAAATTTGCACTTCTCAGCTGGTTTCCAACGACCAATTCCTCAACGGTAACTTACATGGAGGGATGCAACTACTGATGGCAGGATTAAATTAATGTAATTTGATTTACCCATTTCTCTGCATTTATAGTTATCTAATAGATTGTCGCTGATGTCATTTCAGCAACTTTATGTGAAGGTTGAGGCAGTCGAATGTCAGAGCACTTGGCTGGTTGGTCGATGCTTAGAAGTGGGGCATTGGATGGGTACTAGACTACGCGCGATTTGCAGTCTGTGCCTGGTTTCAGTAAAGGGCACGTGATTGTTGAAGAGGAGTAAGAGGAGAGAAGATGAGGGTGGGGGAAGAGGTCTCCAAGCCTGTGTATGTCTACTGGATTTCCATATAACAAGACAAGTGTTCATCTGGGCTGCTGTCATCATGCGTTGCACTTTATCAGCCACTGCATCTACATTGTTGATTCACATTCTGGAAACTTGAATAAAGCAAGTGATGCAATGACACCACAGGAGGTAGTCGACTGCTGCACCCCTCACATCCACTCACTCATTCACCCACTCAGACCACCGGCGATTGTGTAATTAGCTTCTACCAGATTCTGCCTACATGGGAGGCGAAGAGCCGGGATTAATGTAGCCTAAAAGCTTTACTTAGTCTTACAATCATGCTGTAGAGTGTGGGGATAGAAAAGAAGGGGGAGGGGTGGGGAGGACAAAGGGGGGATTGAATACTAACCACGAAAACTGGAGAAAATTCGCTGAAATCCTTTCTTACTGCTCTTTTCAATTGTAGGTTGGGGTTGTGGCTCTGAAGGAGACAAAAAAAGAGAAGTCATGAGAAGACGGCATTGACATTGAAGAAGTAGGCGAGAGAGTGTTTGAGCACAAGCAACTTACGGA